CCTGTACCTGCTTCGCGGCACAGCAGCCCAAAAGTATTTATTTTTAATGAGTTGAGCACTTGCGATTTTGTCTTCCTCCGAGACACATCACGAGGTTCCCTGACACCTGCTTATACTGGTCCACACAAACTGCTAACCAGAGGGGACAAAGTTTTCAGAATCTTGCTCAATAACAAGGTCACGGTTTCCATAGACCGGTTGAAACCGGCCTATATATTACGTGACAGTGAACCTGAAATTCCCCATACGGAACCCTTACCAGAGCAAAATATCCAAAAGGAGCGTATAACTCGCAGTGGACGTCGCGTTCACTTCCCTGATTTTTATCGCCCTTGACGGTCCCTGGAGGGGGGTGGTGTAGGCGACTTTCCTACTTTTACTTTTATTTAAATTCATTTATTTATATTTTACATTAATATTTATTTATATAATTTTATATCTATACTTAAACAATATTTACATTATAATATATATCAATAATAATATTTACATAAATTCAATATTTAAGTATGTTTATGGGTCATTCTATTCTACTGCTAAAAAAGTTTGCAGTCAAAAAGTATTAAAAAAAAAATAAACATCCTGGTTTTTTTTTCATTATCATAACTGAAAACGATGTTCTTTATCATATGTTTATTTAATAAACGGTAATAAATAAAAAAATATTCTTAAAAAGAAAATTAAAAGTGCGTATATCAAGTGCTGGTATCTGTGTATTTCACATGTTACCACATTAAGGTAACCAAAAAAAATATAATGTGTGAGTTTAGGATGTTGTTAATATCGCAAATATTGTATTAATATAATCTAGTTTATGATATTACCAACACTATATAGGTTAGTGCAATCTTACAGTACATTTTACGCGATTCTACTTTTGTTACAATTTTCAAATCATTTCTGTAATCCAAGAGTATTTTGTAATGAAACGCTAGTAACATTCTTCTTATAGGTAAATTTTGTATGCAGTGACAACACTACATTACCAGTAATTTACGGAACGGCTTCAAAGTAAAAAGTACTAGCGTTAATTTTGTGATAAAACCATTTTGTTAGTAATTATTACTATGTAAAAGTTGATGTATCATCTCTGTTAAGACTGCAGCAAGGTAAGTTTCTCAAAATCATAAATAATAATATGCGGGCGGGATTTATTTCATTGTTTGTTTTAATATACACACATCAAAAGTGTCTAGGGATCAAGCATTTTTATGCGGATTTCTTGAGATTGAGATGTGGCTTTGTAATAAATTTATGATTTTATAAATTTATATGGATCCTTTTTGGTGCATTTCATAATTTGAATCAGGAACTGTGAATCAAATTCGAGTAAAAGATGAAAATCAGCTGTCAATATTTTCCCTATAAAAACATACAACGCATTGAAGACATTATTAGTGCTACTGTTTCCCTACTACTGATTAAAACCAACGTTATTATGGAGCGGCAACGTCATTTAAGCAGGGAAGAAATGCTCAGAGCCGTGGGAATGATAGAAGCTGGTTCCCGGCAACGTACTGTGGCTTTAGCTCTGAATACAAGTCAGAGTGTTATCAGTCGACTTTGGACACGATACCGAAGCACTGGTACCGTGGCTGAGCGCCATGGAGGACGGTATCGCTGCACCACACGGAGACAAGACCGATACATTCAAATCTTAACTCGAAGAGCTCCAACAATAACCGCCATGATGTTAGCCGTGAGGCTTCATCACTCTTCAGGGAACTTAATTAGCGACCAAACAGTCAGAAACCGCTTGCATGAAGTGAACCTTCATTCCCGAAGACCGCTACGGGTACCACCTATAGCAATGCACAATCGTAGGATTCGATATCAATGGGCTCTTGAACACAGAAATTGGGCAGAAGAACAATGGCGTTTCGTGTGCTTTTCTGATGAGTCTCGTTTTGGTATGAGATCGGATACAAGACGTATACGACACTGGAGAACCCCTGGACGCCAACAGCGATTAAAATCCTGCCAGGAAGTCCATCCTTATAGTGGTGGAACCATCATGGTATGGGCGGGTATTTGGATCGGCGGAAGAACTGAGTTGATTTGGATCAGAGGCAACCTCAACGCTCAAATTTATGCTGAGACGATTGTATCAGACGTCATCGTTCCTCTACAAGTGCAAATCGGTCCCTTATTTCAGTTAATGCATGATAATGCACGACCGCACACCGCAAGAGTTGTAAGACAGACTCTCGCCGCAGCTAACATCAATGTCCTGCCCTGGCCTGCTCAGTCGCCAGACTTGAACCTGATTGAGCATGCATGGGATATGCTACAGAGAAGAGCTCTGCCGAATATGGAGGGTATCCAGTCGCAAGAAGACCTTTTTTTGTTGTTGCAACGAACATGGGCGGCCATTCCACAGCGTGATTTGGATGAACTCATTTTGAGTATGCCAAACCGATGTTCTTGTGTTGTTAGTGTTCGCGGTAGAAATACGGATTATTAATTGTTTAAGTTACCCAATAAAATTTTAGAGAAAACTGTTATTTCAGTCTTTTTTTCGAACTTTTGTGTTAGTGGTTCAAATGTCAAAAATCCCTTTATTAGGAAAATGGCAAATTTCTTTATTAATGCAAAGGTGACTTGGTTTATCGTTACTGTGACAAACGAAAACACTTTATTTGATGAATCCTTAAAGAAAATTTTAATTAATATCAATCAGGAGAAAAGTTATTGCAAAAATATATGTTGATCCCTAGACACTTTTGATGTGTGTACCTAAGAGTCAACTAGTTCACTCTTAACTTTGAATCCAACAAAGCGGTATTTCAAAATTTTATCATATCTGTGATCGTCACGTTCTGTTTTCATGGTGATAACAGAAATGATAATATTTATTTTATATTTATTATGTTTAACTCTGGCTGTTCATTGGCACACTGGCTATTAATCAATACACAAATTAAAAATAATTATATTATTATGTTCTTTGTTTTCTTCATAAAAAGTTAACTTTTATAGAAAGACATTTCTATAACAGAAGTGACTGTGGGATCACTGAATTTAACAGTTCTATTCTTAGCTGCAGTATGAATCGCCGCACTAAACGAAAGAAAATAATGGGGCCAAAACAAGTGAAATTCGTAAAGAACAAGTAAAGCTTGCTAGAGACGACCCCGACAAAAGATGACAGAAGAACAGCTTGAAGAAAGAAGAAAAAAAGACTGTGAAAGGTATAGGCGAAGAAAAGAACAGGGATTGATTGTTGATTGAAGAGCATTTCTGAGTTGACGCCTCGAGCTAAGAGAACAGTGAGAAATCTCTGGAAAGAAAGATAAAAAATATATCGTGATAAGAAAAGTACATGGAACGAAGAATATATTAAAAATAGCTAATATCCTAGCAGTAAAATTTAATGTTCAAAGCCTTGTATGGCACTATAATGAAGCTGGCCACGGCAAAGGATTGGTGGAATAGTAAAAAGAACCGCTGACTAATCGGTAGCTAGGGGTAATGATATAGCTAACTTTATTCAACTTATCCAGCGTTTGAATGAAAATTGCAGAGGTGTCCAAATTCTTTCAGTTGATGAAGATTCTAAGGCACACTGAATGTGCATCAAATAACTTGGAGTAAAAATAACCGGACTTCTTCACGCTCGAAAGTTCAGTTGTATGGATTGCCCCTCCCCATCAAATCAGTCATCATTATGAAATAGGTGTAATTAACACGGAGACTGTTCACAGATTCGAAAGTAGTATTCCTTGCTCACCCCTAATACTGAATCTGAAAAAACAACCAAAGAAGTTCTTCCTTCGTCACCCCCACACAGTGAGTGTACAGTTACAGATGCCGATTGATGTCATTCGTCACCAGGAGAACGGTCTCCTGCAATATATTCATTTACAGTACAGCAAAGAGTTAGCGATACTGCTGATTCTGATTGTGATTCCAGTCTATCTAGGCAGTTCCATCATTAAAATCACTTTAACGGTAGCAGTTTTATCAGAACGAAGCAGAAACTTATACTACAAATCATGCTCTTCAGATGATAGTTTCGCTAGAGACTTAAAGAGGAAAAATTTTATAGATGCGACAATAAATGCTTCAACATTTGAGAAAAACAAAACAAAATTCATTTATTCATAGGGATTTTAATACGATTTAGGAGAGCTAAGAAACTGAAAATATGATTTTTTTTATTGCTAATAAGTATGGCACAGTTAAATGATAAGGGCTGTGACGTCATTTCCGTGAAAAAATATTAAATTATTTTTTACGTTTTGATACTTCCATCTGATTTTAATTATATTTAATTTTGATTAATATGCCTTTTGAATCAATACTATAAACGTATAATTATTTAATTAATTTGTTGTTTAAAACTATTAATACAGCATAACATTATATCTGTAAAGTATAGCGTCATTCCTGTTAGCCACCTATTTTAAATTTTCGTCGTTTTCTCGGAAATTACTGAGAAACGATGTCTGTGTCTAATTATAATGTTTATTGTTTTTGTTGATTAATATAATAAACCTAAAATAATTCAATAATAACGAGATTTTTATTTTAATTTTTTTCTATTACAATATTAACTCAATAGCGTATACCAGCCGGACGACGACGTAGGTCCTGTCACAAATATGCACAGCCTATTGTCTGCATTCAAACTGGTAGGCAGGGCCTCCCGGCCGGCGCGCTGCGCGCGCGCACCGAAGTCACGTACGCCAGTCGAAATCCCTTATCGGCACTAGACGCACGCTCATTTTTGCTCCGTGCTCCTCGCTTATACTTCGCAAAGCTTATATTTATTGTTATTGTTTGTGTACGCTTTTTCTATCTCTTCCGAACTTTCTTCCTTGTGCTTGAGACTATCTGTGCTTACTCCTTCTGTACTTTCTTGTGTTTGCTTGTGAAATAAACTGTGTTATACCGTGAATTGGAGTGTTGGACTTATATCTCGCCGCCTGCCTACTGGATCACAGCTAAGTACAATATAGACATTGATTGCGGCCGATATTAGTCTTACTGGCTAAACAGCTTTTACAACTATCATAACCAAAATAATAATACGTATTATGACAATAAGTAGTGCAACGTAAAAGGTAACCTCAAATAAAGTATTTCTAAGATCTCAAAAACGTTATATTATTTGAGAATTTACAATGTAAATCAAATAAATACTGACGTACGTAAAAATAAAGGTGAGTACTAGGCAATATCGCTGTTGTATCTCGCCTTGCAAGTCTAAGCCAATTGTCTCGTATGATTTTCTTTTGCGGAACGAACACAATTAACTTATATGGGGTTTTTATTGAAGTTTTCTCACAATGCGGGACCGCACGCCACCTGTAAGTTTTCGAATTGCTATTCATAATCGCAAATTATTAAATTGTTTATTGACCTTATATGAAAGGTTTACGTGTTGACGTTTTACACAACTCAACCGTGACGTCACTAGCGGCGCCATTACACTAGCTTGCGTTTTGGTACGAATTTTAAATCCAAATAAAAAAAAACCTATTAAACCTTAACTGAGGCCAAAAATATGAATTTGATTGTAAATAATATACGTTTTCGAACATTTCAGGACAGTTTTTCAAAATATGTCATCATATAAAATTAATATAAAAAACTTATGCTTAGAGTGGAACATTAAAGTTAACAAAATATTTGCAATCGTTACTGACAATGGAGCTAACATAGTCAAAGCTGTCCATGATTTTGCTGGAAGAAAAAAACATTTACCTTGTTTTGCCCACACCTTTAATTTGGTCGTTGAAAAAGCTATTAGTGAGACTGCTGGATTCAAGGCCCTAATAACAAAAGTCAAAATTATTGTCACTTACTTCAAGCAACGTGTACATGCCAACGATGAACTGAGAAAGTTACAAAAAAACAACGATTCAGGCGTTCAAAAATTAGTTCAAGATGTGAGCACTCGGTGGAATTCCACATTTTATATGTTGGAAAGGTTTGTTCATTTGAGTGGTCTTATAAGCGCTATTTTATTACAGAACCCAAAAGCCCCATCAATGCTTACCGGTGGCCGATTGACAACAAAATAAAGGACATTATTAATATTTTACGTCAGGTCGAAAATGTTACCACAGAAATATCAAGACAAAACTATGCGTATTATTATCCCGATAATGTAATGTCATGTTGCAAACATGACAAAGTCATAGAATCTACTAACAATAATGAGACAAGTGATTTAGGTTCAGAATATAAGGCCAAAATATTAATAGAAATAAAAAAGCGTTTCCAACATATCGAAAAGGTTCATATATTGGCAGTGAGTTCTATTTTATATCCCAGATTAAAAAAATATATGTTTTATTGATCTGCAGTCATGTGCCAATGCCTTAACTGAAATATCAGACTTGTTAAAACCTGAAATGGAGGCTACTACTCCTACGACAATGTCTACCGTCAATATAGCTGAAAATATCACTGAAAAATGCTACGATATCTGGAAATTTCATAGCGAAATGGTGGCACAAGTTAACGCGAGCAGACCACAGGAAGGCCTCCACACATATTTTAAACAGTATTTGTCAGAACCATTATTGGACAGAAAGTCTGATGCAATGAAGTATTCAGGTCAGCGAGAAAAGTCGTATGGGCCCTACGTTATTTGTCAGTGGTAGGAACGTCTGTGCCCTCCGAACGTCTTTTCTCGTTGGCCAACCACACTTAAAACAAAAGCCGCAATCGCCTAGATCCAGAGGCTATCAAAATTATTATTTCTACGTACCACCACGTTGTTGAGAAAAACAAAACATTTTTTACATTGGTCAATCTTTCACTAGATCTTTTACTTTTACTAACTACTAGAGAATAAAATAAACTCTGATATTATAAAACACATGTTTTATTTTTTAAATACTTGATACGATACTGGATCGATCCAAAAAATCGTATCGAATCAATTGGATCTATACTTGGATCGATACAGTGTATTACTATCCATTGCGATCCAGAATATCGATACAAAGCACCTGGATCGAACATCCCTACATACAAGATGCAGCAAAGTTACAGTATGGACTTACTTTAAACGACGTTAAGATGTTGCATATGAGTTCGCGACGAAAAACAATAAAAAATATCCATTTTGCAGCGTTTAGTGGAATTGCAAAAACTTTTATCATGTCTATACAGACAATTTTATCATATGTTGTGTTTCGCAATGCAGTTTCAAACCGTTCGTACTGATGCAATGCGTGGTCAAAATTGCAGAATTTGTGTAATATCGACATTTCTAACAGAGGTGTCAAGTCACGCAATAGTTGGGGTCACACCCGACACAGGTCATTAAATAACTAAATCTATATTTCTAATAGCCCTAAAAATTTTATTCTGGCAATATATTTAAATTACATTAAGTCTACGGGTTAATGGTATAACTCTAGGTAAAAAGTAGTTTTATTCAAAAGTTATTTCTCAAAACAAAAGTTGAAATGTCACACCCGTCACCGCGAACAGACCCATATGTCATAGTATAGTGGAACCATAGATGGGCTATTTGCTAGCTTCGCAACTTTAGGAACGATTACACTGGAATGTCTGAGCACTGTTAATAACTACAAATCTAAATAACATGGATTGTTTTTTTTTTCAGGTACGCAGCAAAGCATTTGCCAGTTAATCCGACATGTAAACATAAATTGTGGCTGTCCACAACCGTGCGTTTTTGTCGAAATTTTTTACCACGTACGACAAAACTGTGGAATATGTTGTCACCAGCAGTGTTTCCGGACCAATACGACCCAAAAACCTTCAAAAAAGAGCGTACTCCTTCCTTAAAGGCCGGCATCGCATTTGTGATACTCCTGGTGTTGCAAGTGTCCATGGGCGACGGTGATCACTTACCATCAGGTGAGCCGTCTGCTCGTATGCCCCCTATAACATTAAAAAAAAAACTTACAATGCTCTGAAATTCCACTGCAGGATGTACGAAAATTCCATTAGTTTTTTTTATTGAAACATGTGAAAGGTATAAAAACACAACGTCGTCGTCCAAGATCTGAATCTCGAAATTACAAACTTTGAGGTTTGCAGCTAAAATATAGGGTATACAGCAGATCACAACTGAAAATGAATAAGTTTGCCAAAAAGCATTCCTTCAGGTTTTACAAATCAAGAGATACCGCGTCAAAAATGTAATAAGGAATTATCATCTTTATGGAAATTTTCCTACAGAAAAACGTGGAGGTGACCACAAGTCCCAAAAAGAAAAAAAAGAAAATATCCTAAAATTCATAAAGACTTTCAAGTGTTCTGAAGCTCCTTATTGTCTTGGTTATACGAGACGTATGTACTTGCCTCCTGAGCTAAGTATAATAAAATGGCCAAAATGTACAATGACCAAGCACTAGAAAACCTCAAAGTGAAAAGGGAGTATTTTCGTACCGTTTTCAATACTTGTTTCAATTTTGACTTTGGGAGTCCTCGGGTCGATGTGTGCTCAACTTGTCTTCAGCTTAATGAAAAATTAAAATTGCGCAAACTGATTGAGACGAATCTATCCTGATGGCTGAGAAAACAGTACACAAACGTAGAGCTAAAGATTTTCGAAAAGACTTCATTAGTGTAAAAGATGATATTTTGTATTACAAAAATAGGATAGTAGTTCCCAACACTTTAAGAAAATATATGTTGGCTATTGTGCACAAGGGACATTTAGGTGTTGTGAAATATAAAAAACGTATTAGACAATCATTGTTTTGGGTAGGAATGTCACAAGATGTGGAAAAATTTGTTCTTTAATGTAAAGTGTGTGATCAAATTCGAGTTAGTAATTGTAGGGAACAAAACTCATCTGTCATGAGGTTAGTAATGTTCCATTTTAAAGTTATGTATGATATATAAGATATCTGTTTCTTTAATGGCAAAAACTATTTAATAGTAGTTGATTACTATTCAAAATGGATAGAAGTACTAAAGTTAAAGGATAAAACTGCAGGTTCTGTTGTTAATAAGTTGAAGGTCATTTTTGCCACACATTGAATTCCAAAATATATTGTCAGTAATAATATGCCATTTAATAGTTGTTACTTTAAAAAAATTGCAAATAAGCTCGATATTGAGTTGGTTTTTTCAAGCCCACACTATCCGCAAAGTAATGGTTTGACTGAAAAAGCAGTGGGCATCATAAAAAATATTATGACTAAATGTTTAGAAACTGGTTCAGATTTCTATCTTGCCTTGTTAAATTATAGAACAACACTAATCAGCGATTAAGAATATAGTCCGGCAGAGTTGCTGGTGAAAAGAAACCTTAGAAAAGTTTTGCAAAATTTAAAGGAAAGTTTTTTTAAGGGATAAAGGAAAAGCCACAGAAAAAATATAAAAACATATCTAAGAATAAACGAATTCCAAGTAGGAGAAAATGTTAGAGTGCAAAATTACAAGAGTAAATTGTGGGAACAAGGAAAAATTATCAATAAATGTGACAACCCGAGATCTTGTGTTGTAAAAAATGAACACAACAATATTTTAATAAGACATTTTAAATTTCTAAATCCTAGTAAAAATGATTTTGTTATCAAACCAAATCAATTGTTTTTAGTAATAATAATAACAGCTGTAGTGAAAACACCAGTTTGGTTCAGAGTAATAGTTCTAATAATGTAAATGATAATATTACAATGCAAAAGATGCAAATGCAAACTAATAATAGGAAGGTGACCACAAAATCTGGTCGTGTAGTTAGGACACCGTTGAGATTTAAAGATTTTGTTCATTAATAAATTGTGTCTGTAAGTTTTAAGTATTAATTTTATGTGTTTGGGCAACAATCTGTAAGGGCGGGACATATGGTTATAATAATGGTATTCCAAAATGTATATTTGTTGTTGGCAACGCTGGCACTTCCTTGCGGTAGGTCGATAAAATGTTTGTGTCACCATAAATGTGCGCTTCATAATAAAATAGCAATTTCAATCAAACACATCTTTTATTAATATTGAACAATTATAGCGTTCTGTAACCATTTGCGCACAAGCGCTTTTTAAAGTTTAAAAGATGGCGAATACATACGTGATATAATAGAACGCAATGATATGAGACCGTTTCGTTCTATGATAATTATGCTTTGATTTTACAAAAATATAATCTTTATTTTCGATCATTTAAAGTCGATTATCGTATAACACTACTTTTATTTCGATGTTTCGCCGTCTCGGTCGCAGCACGGTGGCGCCAGAAGCGCTGGAGCAACTGTGCCGCTTATGTATGACCTTATCGCCATTAAAATAGAGTGCAAGTTTGTTTAGCAACAAAAAATAAATAATAATATGGCAACAAAAATGCACCGCTCGCTCGCTTGTGACGAGGGCGATTGTTTAGATTTTTTTAGTTTGCATAAATTAAGAGCGCGCGCGTAGAGTTCGAATAAAAATATTAAAGTAAACTGCAATTAAGAAATTTATCAATCTTTTAATTTATTGGAATTGTTTAGAGGTGTATATATAGTGAAATATTTGTAAATATATGATAAAGTTTACTTTTTAAAGTTGATTTCTTCTATTTGAAGAGTATTTAATTAAAAATAATTAATGATTAAACGAACTTACCTGTACGTGAAGTTCTATCATAATTATACAAAGTGCTTCGTTCGGTTGTGTTTCCCATAGGGGGACCACAACTATTCCAGTTGCTGTATCTATAACAATTTTTCTTAGTGTTTTTAGTATGACTGATATAGGCGGAAAAGCATAGAAAAAGAATTCTGACCAATCGATTGTAAATGAATTAATTGCAAAAGCATCTGGGTCTTTATGCCATGAAACGTATTTTGAACATTTTTTGTTTATTCGACTAGCGAAGAGGTCAATTTGTGGTCGCCCAAAGGAAGCTATTATTTTATGAAAAACCGAATTTGTTAGCTCCCACTCGATATCCGGGTGGTTGCGTCGGGATGCAGCGTCTGCCAGAGTGTTATCTTCAGACCGAATATAAGAGGCAGAGAATTAATGTGTTGCCTAGCCTCCTCATTGGACCACTGGCCACTGGCCGTCTCACCACGACACGCTACACCCCAACCCCCAGACGTTGAGGCGTCAGAAAATATTTCGATCTCGTACCTATCTTCTAAAATTCTATGCACTGAATCATATATCACGTTACTCCACCAAATCAAATCACTTTTGACATGAAATGGAATATTCATTATTGATTCATAACTATCATTTTTATGTAAGTTTAGGTATTTACATCTTTCTAATTTTTTTGTGTAATTAGCCACCCGTATTCAATAGCGGGGCAAGCAGAGACCAGAAGTCCAATAAGCTGTGCAAACTGCCTAATCGTACAAGTTTCATTGTTAATAAAAAGAAATAATTCATTTTTAATGCGTTTTCTTTTCTCTTGTGGTAACAAAATTTGAAATTTATGTGAGTCTAGAACAAAACCTAAATATTGGCACTTTTTTGCTGGTGTAAATACGCTTTTTTCCTCGTTAATTATAAACCCTACAGAGCATAATAGCTTTTTTGTAATGAGAACGTTATTATTGCATTCTTGATACGAATTCCCAAGTTAATTAATATCGTCTAAATATATTGTTGACATAAAACCACCAGATCTCAAAACTTTGACAATAGGTTTTGTAATTTTTGTGAAAACTAGAGGCGTTGTACTCAATCCAAACGGTAAGACGTTGAACTGATAGAGTTTTCTGTTATATTCGAACCTTAAATATTTCCTACTTTCGGGATGAATTCTAATGAAATGGTAAGAATCTTTGATATCAATGGTAGCCATATAACAATCACGGGACATTAGTTTTAATGTTAATCGAAAATCTTCGATTTTAAAATGTGCGGTTTCTATAAATTGGTTTAATTGTTTCAGGTTAAGTATAAGTCTCATTTTACCGTTTGGTTTGGGTCGTAAAAATATACTAGATATAAATTGGTCTTTACAAGGTCTACATTCTGATATAGCTCCATATGATTTTAGTTTAGCAATAGACTCATTTAATAATAGTTTTTCAGAATCTAAAAAAAATTTATTCATTGGTGGTTTGTGCTGCTTAACAGGCTTAGAGAAAATAATTTTGTAACCCGGATAGATCCACGTGAGTACAGTGCGATCGTTAGTTATTACAGTCCACGACTTATAAAAGTGTGTATTTTACCTTGTCTAATACCGCCTGTTCATGTACCTCTGCGGCGGCGGCGGGGGCTTGTGCGTCCATGTATTGCGCGCGCTCCGCGGCGGCGGCTCCGTAGACCTGTAGGGCGGAGGTTGTGCCGGCGTCATCGGGGCTGCAGGCGTGTTCCGATGGCCCCTCGCTGGTTGCCTGCGACTCGCGAATGGGGCCTTCCAGTTATTTGTTTGTGCCGTCGTCGTCGACGCGGGCTTAGGTTGAGGCTGATTTTTTAAGCTCAGTAGCTGATTTTGTTACAGCCTTGGACGCTTTCAAAGAATCCGACAGGTCTTCTTCAAATAATGCCTTCCCTATCTTGGTGTTTAGCAATGGCTCTTTTGCCTCTTTCTTCAGCGAAGAAACAGCGAGATTTCTGCGTGAAGTCGAGTCATTATATTGAGCATCACACATGAGGCGAGACGCGTCCATAAGGCGTTTTATTTGTAAATTATCCTTTTCTTTTGCATCTAGGGCGTAAGAAACGGCCTCTCCAAGGCAGGATATGGCTGCGGCTAGCCTTTTTTGCCGAAATTCGATCAATTTGTCGCGCTTAAGTGAGTTCTCAATGATCGCTACTTTGACCTCTGTGTTTAATGACGGGGCGCCGATCATGGTACAGTTACCGGGTATTAAGTATTTATCGCAAAGCTCCTTCCGGCAATCTTTGGATAATCCGTTGGTGGCGATATGGTTAAACCGGGTAGCGAGCTCCGCTCTTATGTCCTTTCCACACTCGGCGACGACTGTCGGATCATCACCGAGAATTTCCAGGACATCCTTGTCAAGGTCTTCTGCGATCTGTATTGCATCATCCTGCGTTTGTACCGGTTGTATAGTAGTGCTTTCAAGCATCTCAGATGTTACCAATGGGGCAACATGTTCTGTAACATTATCTTGTGGCTGGCTTTCACCAAGAAACTCACAAACCATATCTTCACCATCTCCCATAAAGCCCTGATTTTCACCGTCTGAAAATAGCCAATAATGCTATTCTAATAATTTTGCACAAAAAAATTGTTGCAAATCACTAACAGTTGATATAAACACCTGACGGTATTTAAAAATATGTAATGTATTTATTTACTATATAACATGTAGTTATTGTAACCAGTATAGGATAAACGACGTTGGTTTTACGCTCGGATAATCCCGCAGACGTCCTTGTGCGTTACCAATAAGCCGAAGGGAAAAAACTACTTGAATGTAAGTGCGAGTAATGTTCCATTAGTTAACGCGCGGATAGCCCCGCGGACGTCCTTGTGCGTTACTAATAAGTCGGAAAAAATATTTTGCTAATGTGTGTAGTGTTGTGATAGTTAACGCGCGGATAGTCCTGCAGACGTCCTTGTGCGTTATCACAGTAATCATTGAGCAAACACACCCTTAAAGATCCATGTGAAAATTCAATCATGATCTAATTATAGAAGGCAATGCGCGGATAGTCTCACAGATGTCATTGTGCATTCTGTTTTAGTTTTATTGTTACATACATGGACCGATAACTTTACTTAAATTGGATAAATAATAGGTACTCACCGTTCCTATTTTTCGGCGATTATAATGAATATTTCTTACAGGTTACTCATCTTGAGAACGAAGCACAAGTATAATTGTAAATACATACTGACTTTTTCACAATGTCACCTTATAAAAATGATAGTGTTTTGTGGTCGCACTATGACATGGACGTTATTAATAAAAAAGCTCAGTATCATTTGTGCCAGGAAAATTTATGTAACAAATCTATCACAGTAAATTTAAGAAATCATTTAAAACGTAAGCATATTGGAACATATACGTCATTAATGGAGGAAGAAAACTAAGAAATTCCCTGTCGCTTTACAGTTGTCCCTGATGTATCACAACCATCTACTTCGAGAACTCTGCTCAATCAAAGTGACCTAATTATGCATCCTCCCATAAAAAATTTGAAAAGTAATAGATGCCTACATTAATAAAAAAAAGGTCAGAACAAAAGAAGAAAATCGACCGACTTATTGGACTTGTGCGTGGACAGTTTTCATCCTTTTTCTATTGTAGAAGAGCTAGGGTTTATTAAGTTTTGCCGATGGATACCAGTTTATAAATTACCCTCACGAAAAACTTTATCAAATTCCTTACTCGATGAAACTGATAATAAAATAGAAATGAAAAATTCATTTTCAAATTACAAGTGGGGTACAGTCAATCTGTTTGACAACGGATCTATGGACTTCGCAAAGCACAGAGAGCTATATCGCGGTTACGGGGCACTACCTCACTGATGCTTTAAAATTTAAATCAGTATTATTGCGATGTTGCCATTTCTCTGGTAATCATACTTCCCAAAATAAAGCATCCGAAATAAATGCTATTGTAAATAAATGGGGGTTAACTGGAAAAGTTAACTTTGTTGTGTCGGACAATGCACCTAATGTTGTGAATGGATGTTACGCGCACACACTTAACCTTATTGTGGAGGACGCCTTAAAGTACAATAAAAAAAAAGGATATGGTGCGAAGAATTGTGTGCTATTATAAAACAAAGTATTGGCAGAGCGATTGGCCAAATATCTGGCGAACCAAAACAATATACCTAAGCATGAAAAAAATATAACTAAATGATGACGATGTTGGAGATGGTTGGGACGTATTGTCACAGAAGTGCAGGTTTCTTCTAATTTCTTCGAATCGTGATAATGGCATTACTTTAGCTATATAAGGCACACCCATGTCAGGTTCAGTGGACCAGTAGCTTCTCAGTGTGGGTAATACATGGTAGCCCATGACATAATTCATACCAATGAAAGCTGTTATTTCTTGGATATCGGTAGTGAACACCGAGCCGTTTTGATGAGGATAATATAAAGACACTGGTATTATTAATCCCTCAATCAATAATTTAATGTTTGTTACTGCCTCAAATATATCGATAGGTTTCAAAGACTGTAGTTCTTGAGAAATGTTTATCTTACCAAATTCATAATCGGTGTCAGAAAAAATATACGGGCGATAGATATTAATTTTCCACTTGAACTCGGGAACCGGATCACGTGATAATGAATAAATGGGGATAGTAAATGACGAGTCTGAAGACAGACCTGGATTTTGAGTAGATCCTGATGGACCAGGTGTGGCTCAATTATAGCTTCGGAAAATCCAGCTTGCATGTCCTCTAATAAAAATGACTGGTCTTCGTCGTCCAAAGAGTGCATCTTCAGTGTCACTAGTTTCAGCCATGAGATATTCCTCGACTTCGCCATCAGCCAAACGGAAAAACCTATTGCCTTTGCGCGCCCAAAACAAATAAATTGAGTGTTTAGACCGTGTGTAAAATCACATAACATGTAAAATGCATAGAACGTTAGGGTAAAATATTAATAAAATTGGCCTTTTACGCATATTGGGACAATGGTGTCTGTTGAAAATAAAGATCGTGCTGGGCCCTTGAAAATAAATTT